GGCCTACTATAAGCAAAGAAAAATGCTTTTAGTTTTTAGTTCAGACTGTGTTCTGTGAAAGTGTCTTGTAACCTAAATTAGACATCTCTGAATCGTTTGACCCATTTGAAGAAAATATAAAGACAGGGAAGAGAAGAGGTAACAGCCTCAAGCTGTTACATCCCTGGAAGTGTTCACAAGCTGTGTAGATGAGGCCCTCAGTGACACGGGTTAGTGGCGGGGGTGGGGGTGGTGGGGGGTGGGGGGCTTTCAACTTGATGATCTTAAAGGTCTTTTCCAACTGAGTTGATTCTGTGACTCTATGATTCTAAGAGAAAACAGCTTAACATGGAATAAACAAAGGAAACATCCACCATTTCCCTCTCCCCAGTTTTCTGTCCTATTATGGTGTCATTTAACTGCAATTGTTTTATTGAGTATTGGGTAAAACCTGTAAAATGTTATCTGCACTTTACAACTCTGTATTAAGTGTTCAAATCAAGACTATAGGGCTTAACTGGCCTCTTACTTGCAAACTTCCATAGTGGTTTACAGGACTACTGTCCCTGCAACTACAGCATAGCAGCTGGCAGCACTGCAGAATGCTCCTCGTCTGTTTCCATAAGACATAACAGGGATGAGCTGATGTAAATGCTTGTGGTTCTCAGTAGTTATTCCTCTGTATTAATTTAGGATTTGTCTCTGATGGCAGTTAAACTAAGTAGTCATAAGGATATGGATGGATTCCATTCTTTCAATTAAAGGTAGCTCTTCCCAAGTCAATGAATTTTCTATGTCTGTCATTTGTTGCCCCCTGATCCCATCTTCTCTCCCTTTCCTCTTCCTGCTGCTGGCAAAGTTATTTGGGAGTTTTATTTAAATGAGGATTTTTATGCAGTGAATCTCTGAGAAGGAATAACTTTTATTGTGGAATTTTGCTGAAACTTTTTCATCCCATCTGGATTTGGCCCTGTTTTGTTTCCTGAGTTGGCTGAGACTGGAGCTGAAACTTTTAATGATCATACCTTTACAATTACAATCATAGTTAGGAAATACTAGTGTCTTGATCAAAGGGAAGTCTGTAGTCACCACTTTGCAGAACCATAGCAACAGGGTAATTGAAGAGTTTACTGGATCTTGCCAAATTTCTGCTAATCTGTGTGGAGGCTTGTAAGCAAGAAATGCAGGCTTTACTGTAAAGACCTGGGAGGTGTTGTGTTGTCTGCCACACACACAAGGGCTCAGGCTGCAAAACCTCCGACAGCTTTTGGCACCTTAACATGGTTTTGTAGAAACTCCTGTGTGAGTCGCAGCTGCAAGAAGTGAACAGAACCAGTCAGCACTGGAACGCAGTATGGTGCTGCTGTTCGTTAAACATGCTGCAGCCACTTAAAATAAAACTGAAGTAATTTCACTAGCCTGTTCAGTTTGACAAGTTATATAAGCGAGAGCTGAGTTACCTTGGGACAGGTACAGAACTTTGCAGTCTTCTGATGGAGCATCTAGAATTAGAGCAGAATTTAATGAACTGATTTTTGTCTCAGGAACATAAAGGACAATGAGCTGAACATCACAGTTTACCATTGCTACTTTAATATCTTTTGCTTTCATGTTGGAAAAATATATTGCATGATAAAGTCTGAAATAATTTCTGCCCCATATTGCTTTAATTTGCTCCCATAATGATGGAAGTTATCATCCACAAAGACATTTTTCTTCAAACCTGGGTAGGGGCTATTACTGCTGTAAGACAGACGTGGCTACTTGCTACCAACCAAAGGATACAGTCATGACAGAAGCAACCACCTGTTTAAAACTGAAGAAGAAAGTGCGTTGTGCTGCTCATCCTGCTTGACCATCACGGTTTTCAGATGTGATGGAACTCTTGCATGAGTGGTGGTGGAAAAGCCTTCCATTTAATTCATTGATATTGGAAAAAGTAGAGTGAAAAACTTCAAAAGCATCCAGGAGGGCAGGAGAGATTGTTTTAAACACATTTTTAAGCAGTCATCTATTTCCAGGGCACAATTACGTTTATCAAAGACTTCAGTGAAACTTTCGTAACCCAGCAGCTCTGTTAATGACCTGTAGAATTTTTTTTCCTCCATCAGTTTCAACATGTTCTTGTGATTGATTTATTCTTTACCGAGCCTGGAGTAGTGGTGGGATAAAGGGTGTTATTTAGAAAATAACTCCAGAAGAAAAGTGTATTTTCTCTTAGTAAAACAAACTGCACAGTGCTGTCAATGGCCCTATTCCAACTGAGGTAGCTTACAAGATTTAAAGAAGAAATTTGCCTTGATGCAAAAGTCATCCTCAAATCATGGAATTTGAAACTAAACCCATCCCATCTTTCTTTCAAGGCTCAGTTTTCTGTTCTGCATTCCCACCTGTAGACTAAATTAATTTTCCAAATGTTTAAAGTTTGTTTATTGAAGATATTCTGCTTCATTTACAGCAGAAGTGCTTAAAGCACTTTTCTCGTGAGAGGTTCCTCAAGTGCACTATGCATAGATTTCAGCTCTGGGGACTCATGGGGGCCTAATCTGTATTAGAAACAGAGACACGTGGCATAAATACCTTGTTTCTACACATCTTTAGGTGCTGGGGTTTTTTTAATATATCTATATATTTTAAAAAATATATATTTTTAAGTTATTGCAAGCAAATAGTGATGAGTGGAGTTCCTTAGAAGTTAGTCTCATAATGACATGACAGCTCAGTGATCATACTCATGGATTCTGTTGTTGCAGACCCCTAGTACTGTGAAATCAGTGGTTTAGCAGGATGTATATGTGAGTGTGTATTGTTGGTATGGGTTTTGTTTGTGTTTTTAAAGCAGTTTTTCAACATAACACTGATCCGGAACATGTTTTTTCTATTGAGTGCCATAAATCAAAGCCATATTTGTTGAAAAGCTGCTTGCTAACTTTTTGAAATAGCTATAGAAGATGGCAAGGAAGATAGATTAATATTTGAAACAAGTCACCGATTTCATGCTTTTTCAACTCAGCTCACTACTGATACGAATAGCAGGTTTAAATTTATTCAAAGGAAAGGAGGGTTCACTTGGAAGCATGTATGAAGATAAGTAGTATAATGTGAGACTCATTCAATTTGAGTTTTGTCGTAATTCATGTTGTAAAGGTACTGAAGCACAATTTGAGTTTTGTCGTAATTCATGTTGTAAAGGTACTGAAGCAACATGTGACTAGGAAAGCATGAATAGAAAGAAGAAACATGCCTTTGAAAGGATGAATGTCCCAGAGCAAGTGTTGAAGCATTTAATCTTGAATCACTTCAAAGCTGCCTTGTCAAAGCCCTAGAATAAAAATAAAAAATTGCTCCTTACATTTATGATGACAGAGCATGGGTTCTACCTCCCAATACTGCAGGGGTTTTGCATATTAGCTTCTGCTTAGTTTCTTGTTGCAGTGTTCATACAGAAGTGAGACCAATGCATAGGCAGTTGGGAAAATTCTTTCTTTGGTTGTTGTAGAACTTTGCCCATGTAGCCTTTTGCAAAGAAAGCACAGATGTAAGATCTTTTCTTTGCTTTTGCAACTTCTTTGGAAGGAGGAAGAGTCACTTCTGTCTGCCAGAGAGAGGATCCAGAAAGCAGCCAACAATCTTCCCAAGAAATAAATAATAAGCAGACGAAACCAAAGATCGATACTTGATTTCCTCTTGCCCCAAACTCTCTTGGAACTGCTGGGCACCCTGTCTTACATTACATTTAATCTGAGAGGCATATAATGCCTATAAATTCAAGGATTTCTTCCTATAAGAGAGGGGAAAACATTCTGCCATTTGGAAGAAAATGTGAAATAATTGTTTTGAAAACTCCTTCTGTCATTTGATTGACATGTTGAAAAAGTGACACCTGTGCTCCTGAACAGGGAGGTTGTAAAGCAAGGAGGAGGAATCCCGGGTACTCAAATAGAAAGCATCAGAGCCAAACCTTTATTGTGTCCCTTGCCTAAGTGCTTCCGTTTAGGGGTATGGCTCTGTGACGGGCAGTGCCTTAGCTGAGCATCCCCCTGCCCATCCCATACAAGGCAACCTCACCCTCATATTCTCACGATGAGCATTCTCCTGGTTGGCTAAGATCCCTTATTTAACAAAATAAACAAGTTTTGGGGTGGTTTTTTGGGTTTTGTGTGGATTTTTTGTTGTTGAGAGGGTTGTTTGGGGAGGTTTATAATTTTATTTTTGTCAGTCAGAAGACTGAACAAGAATTGCTGTTCATTAAACTTGTTCTGAAATCTGCTTCCTGGCTTTTTCGTTTATCAGATAGAATGGGCTGTTACACACATGGCAATTACCTTGGGGTTTTTTTACGTTTACTAAAGATGCATATTTTAAAATCCAAAGACCAGGCATAGTTCAGGCAATGGTAATGCAACCCTTGACAAAACATTACATTATCTTTTTCCTGAATAATTTTAATTCATGTCTTCAAACTGTAATAACAGTGAACATAGCATTTGGCAGATTTAGCATGCTAATACCCCAATTCCTTGATGATAGAAAGGTGCCTCTTTCTGAACAGGTTAAAATTCCTTTCTTCAGGAAAATTCCGCTTGTCTCTGCTTTAATGTGAGGAAATAGCTGAGGACTTTTACTGTGGTTTGTGACTTTCACCCTTACTGTTTGGTTGTTAAATGGTGGAAACAGTCAAGAAAAGCCTATAACATACAGATTTAAGCAGCTGCCTCTGGTACTTCATTCTAGTTTGCAAGATGATGAGAATGAGCTGAGCTTGGAGTTTAGCTGCACTTGGAAAAAGCTGGCTAGCTTTGGTGAGAAAGTTAAGTGCTACTAAGTTCACTGCTAGGGGTTTCTTCAGGTTTGTTTTCTGACTGTGGTTAAGGCCAGTTAGTAGCACAGATTTATAATGCAGCCTTTGTGATTGGCAGGAATGTCAGAACTACCCAAGCAAGAAAAAGAAATGGAGCTGCTTTTACCAGAACTGGTATGGGCACCAATGCCTACAACACTGAATGTAATTTATACATACTGTTCCTCTCACAGGTGGGTTTGCTGAGTTCTCCAGCGCTTTCCCAGGTCTCTGTGAAGGAAAATCCACGCTCATCCCTACCTGCATTTCTCAACCTTGCCTACCTGTCTCCAGCAACGGCCCAACCAGAATCCTGCCTCATCTCTATCTTGGGTGTCAGCGGGATGTCCTCAACAAGGTGAGTGTTCTTGCTGTCACACTGTTTACTTAGATGCATATCTAATCTTCACGTGTCTTTGTCTATGCTTCTGTCATGCTGCATCATTACAGCTATGAAAGATACAGATAATAGCTGTCTGTGCATAAGCCATGGAAAGCTATGTGAGAACTAAGGGTAAATAGACCGTATAATTAATCTACATGTCATGTAACATGAAACTTGGTTTCCTTTCTCTTTCATCTTGGATAAAATGGTATGTTATCTTCTTCCTCAGTTACCTATCAACCAATAGCTAATTATCAAATCTGCCATTACAGTAGGTCAGGTACTTTGTGTGTATAGCTCTGATGGGTTTGTTTTGGCAGGTCTTGAATGTTAACACGATTATATTAATGGTTACAGCAGGACAAAGGAAGATTGTCTGGTTTTTAGTATTTCCTTCAAGTGCTGGAAAAAACAGCACTTATATATTACGAATTGTATAATGAGGTACTACTGCAAACAAATCTTTGTGCACCTAATAAAATGTTCGGACCTGGACAATCAGTGGGGTCATTTAAAATGAGTTTTTATGGTAGTACTGCACTAAGAAACTTTTACTGTTTCTAAATACACGTGCATTTAATAATTTCTGTTCCTAAAGAATAGCCCAGGATATTCTGGTATACTTAAAATAGTCAGCAAAGTCATTAAATATAGCAGTTGTAGGGTGCTCGAATATCAGATGTCTGAAAGATCTTGTCTCAAGTTGCTACAGGTCTATATTCCTATGTATATCTGCAGGTGTTTGCCTCCATGAGGAGACCCAACTCATATTGCTTACAGTCTGTATCTTGGGTTCCCTCATAAGGGCATTTTTACTACTTATGCTGCATGTGCCCTCTTCACTCCCATATTTTCTGACAGTCTATTCATTAGTTGAATCTTTAACAGCCTTTATAAGCTGGCATTAAATACATGGATGGGGGAGAGGGAAGAAGTGCTTCACCCTAGCATATTGCCTTATTATATGCAGGCTTATGTGTATGGTTTGTATCCATGTATAAAGCTTAAGACAGGAATGATCCTAATAGTCCTGTAATTGGATCAAATTAATATACTTTGACCATTATAATAGTTTTCAGTGGTTTCTTCTACTTTCACTCCATCCCAAGTCTGGCCATTAATAGGTTGTTTTTAGATATTTCACAATTGTTTTAAGGGGATTTTTGACACACAAGCAATTATGTAGAAGGTAACTATGCTTTAATCGAGTGCACAGAAAAAATTTTATCTGGAGGATAGTCAGCAGTCATTGTGTTTACTTTGTCCTTTAAAATCTTCTTTGTCTTTACTGCCAGGTAGCAAGTCAGCAATTCAAACTTGATTCACTTATGGTGGATGTCAAAGCAGCTTATAACTTTTCCAACCACAAAAGTAATTTGTGGTCCCCAGACAAAAGACAGCAGGAACTAATTAATCTAAAAAATAAAATAAAATCCTTTCTTTCAATGGCAGATTATTAGAAAGATACTTTTACGCTGTTTGTTTCAATGCGTGAATGGCAAGTGCTACCCTAGGTCACAGTGGGAGTGAAGGGGGAACTTGTTCTTCTCTAGGGCCATGGGTATCCTACTTCAATTAGGATGTGACTGTAACTCCACTGCTATGACTCTTAAGTGGTGCATAATCCCAGAGAGATGAAAGAAGCTGTTCCCTCTCCTTGCAGTAAATTGGTGCTGATGAATAGGTGTTGGGCACAGGCACAGCATGTGTGCCTCACCAGGAAAGGAATCCAAGTGGTAACAGCGGTCAGGAGTTTCATTATAGGGCTGGAGGAAGCTAAAACTGCTACTGGTGAGCCCTGAGTGTGGCACAGTCATCTATGGGAAGAGTTCATACCTGGCGGTGGCTCTTTTGCCTATTAATCTACAATCTTGACATCATTTCAGCATGTGTCGAAGGATACAGCTGCTGATACTTTAGAATTAATACAAAACCTCCAGGAGTTGGTCAGGTTTGTAATTCCTCACATATTCTTGGGAGTTATGATCCAGGATTATTTTGTTTCCCATTTTGTATGGAAAACCACAAAAACAACAGCGTACAATGCACAGAAAGTTCAGTAAGTTCTTACTATCTGGTGTCATCCTTTCCAGTCAACCCTCTAGAAGCTCTTCCATTGATGACTAAATACCTCTTAGATCTCCTACCCAATTTAGGACAGATACAGATCTTCTGATTTCAGATCTACTTGGGGTTTGCACCTTTCTTCTCTTTGAACAAACATAGGCGATGCTTTAGTTTGAGCAGTCACTTGCTTGCTGCACTGAAGTAGACTTTAGCGTCGGTAGATTTATCTTAACTCTTCAGTTTAAGTGACTGCCCTTGGAAAATTCAAAATAGCTTCCAGCTTTAATATTGGTAACTTTATTAACCTAAAGAAGCTGTGGGAACAAGTTACGATTTCTACATTTTAGAATCCACTTAAGTTTTCCGAACTGTTGGCACCCTTCAATTTCCTGGGTTTATTCAGTTTCTTGGTTCAACTAAAATTTAGCAGTAGCTAGGCATCAACATGTTAGAAACACAAATAGCAGGTCTCTGCTGCTCTCCCTTCAACACACTTTGCTCCTTGGGAACCCTGGACCCTATGCAGAGGTGTTGGGGAGAGCAAGGAGGATGATTCTTACTACACCAAGTGCCCAGAAATGCCAATACATAGTAAGAAAGCTGGGTAGTGAAGAATGTTCAAAGGAGAAGGGCAAGAAGCAAAAAGCAGGGATAAGAAGCAAAGTTCTGTCTCTCTCAGGACAGACAGTCCAGGAGATGGAAAGTGGTTTAATGGCCTTGCTCTGGTTTAATGGCCTTGCTCTGGTTTAATGGCCTTGCTGGTTTGTTGGCTACCTGGAACAAGCTTTCTGGTAAAATTAGAATATGAGGGGGTTTTATTCAGGTCCAGATTAAAAAAAAAAAAAAAAAAAGACTAAAAAAACTTAACAAATGTAGTAAGATTCCCCAAACTATTACAGTGTTGTTGAATACATTGACCGTATTTTTGCGTTCAGATGCTATCTGTGAGTTCCCATGATTCCTTCCATTGACCAGACATACCGATTTCTTTAAAATTAAAGTGTCTCACAGATACCTGCAAAAAGAACTCTTAATCTGCACCACTGTGCAACCTGATGATTTAAAGGTGAATTTTCATCATGTTTTATCAAGACAAGCTTATCTTTTCAGGATCTTTATAAGCTTATCTATGAGTGCACAGGTAGGGAAATGCTTGTCTTGTTGCAGGGCAGTCTGTATTCATGACCTTTTGGCCATTAATATCTCTGATAAAGCAGATAATGCTTTATTTATGAAGGATATGCAAAAATAAATGCTTGGTTCGTGTCCTTTAGCAAAGTTAATGTTTACTTCAGAAAAGCCTTCGGAGATATTTTTTGCTTTACTGATTTGTTTCTAAATGATTAATTCCAAAAATATTCATAATATTTATTTGCAGTGTTGAAATATTAAAAGCTTCATGAAAGGTCTTCATAAAAGTTCTAGCAGAAAAGTTTCTTTCAGTTGTTGGGTCTCTGTGTGATAAATGGTGATTATCTCAGTGTGATGTACTGCTGGTATCTCAAGAGGGTGTTTACTGTTACAGGTCTTTGTTGCTCTTTGTGAAAGAGGGGCAGACTAAATTCTAACCTTCATGGGAGTGATGGTGTCCTTGCTGAAAGCTAGTGTAATAGAAAAAAATCTGCATTGTGGTTATGGGCATGAATGAGCCTCCTACTTACATCTCATTGTACCAGCATTTAAACTGTAAAACTTTCTGCTTTGCTACTTACATAACTGTTTCTTTTCTTCCAGACCTGGATTTTATTTCCTGGAGCAAAATAACATTTTAGGGTGCCATTAATTTTCAGATTAAACTAGTCATAAAATGTAAATAAGCTGACAAAAGAGCATTTACCTTCTTTTCACAAAGTTGTTAGTATTAGGATTTCTGGATCTTCCTCTCATCATAATTCACTTCTTCCTCTTGGGTGCCTTACAATGAAGGCACTGTTATGCTTATTATATTGGAGCGTGTTGCACAGGGTATGATTGATACTTTAGAACAGAAGGAAGCATAACTTCTTTCTTTAGCCTTAGTCTCAAAGACAAGCACTAACACATTTTTGGGTGGGTTTTTTGGCTTGAAGATTTCAGACTTGGCATCTGTAGCCTTCTTACTCCCATTTGAATAACCAATTCCACATCAAAAACCTTGCATAACTGTGGAATCATGGTTGGCCTGTGCAGCCCACCAGCAGTTAATGCTTTAAAAGAAATAATGAGGTTTTCAATTCTTCTAAATTCATGAGCCTCCCCTTAGTGGTACATTCATTACCTCCCTCCTTTATACCTGGTAATGTTCGTGACCCTGCGTGTACTTTTGTACCTGCCATTCCAGTTGTTCCTCGCTGACCTTCAAGCAGCGACAACAGTAGGTGAGCTGGTTTGGGGGCTGGTATTTCACCATAGTGATCTAAAGCAGATATTTATTTTACAGCAGTTAAGTCTGAAGAGCTTGGGATCCTAGAAAGGGAAAACTGTGTAGCCCAGGACAATGAGGCAGAGATGCTGGGGATCAGCGGTCTCCCTCGCACACATAAGATATTGCAGATCTAGCAGTAACTAGTCCCCTGTGGCTAAAACCCCATTCCCGATACCTTCCCTCTCTGGATAATTCCAAATATTCCCCTACTTCCTTACAGCGCTCCTGCTTTTAAACTTGTAGGTCTGTCCTGTGAGAGCTAAATGTAATAGAGGAAGGGGCGACGGAGGTGGCTATGAAAGGCAGGCAGGGCTAAAGGGAGCTTGCTGGTTGTGTTGGGGAGATGTGAAAGAGGGGGGAAACCTGTGATGTATTGGAATTAACTGTCATCATTGAGAAGCTGAGCTTTACTGGGAGTGTGACCTAGGAAATCAGCAAGGTAAGAAGTAGTAAGGCTGAGAACTTATTTTGACACACTTAGCCCCTTTATTTTATTTTACCATTGCTACCAGTTCTATTTCTGATGATTTGCTTTGTGAGTACCCACACCTTCAGGCACTTCTGAATGTGCTGATGTGCGGGGCTTCAGGTCAAAGTTTGGAGGAGCTGCTCATTTTGCTCCAGGCAACAAAATACAGCTGCCTAGCAGAAATTAATCTTAATTCCCTTTTACAACCATTACTGGCTGGACTTCATGCTCTTTCCTGTGCAAATGACTGATGTAGATTCCTTCCCCCCTTGCAGTCCTTCATTCTCATTGAACATTTAGTTCATGCATGCATACACGTGTGCGTGTGTGTTCATCCCTTCTACGTAATACACCATAATATACGTGTTATGTACTCAACATCACATACTACTTAGGCTTCTCTGATTTGAACAAGATAGATAGAGCTCTGTCTCTTCAGCTAAAAAGCTATATCCCTCTTTCTCCTCACCAGAACATTTCTATGCTTGCAGAAAAAATATATATGGTGAAGAAGGGACTATATTTTCATACTGGGAGATCTCCAGTTGAAATCTGCAGTGTAAGAATTCATTCTTGCTAATGCTCCCATGGACTGACATACCGTTTTTTACGTAATTGCTATAAAAGCAAAATTTCTACAGAAATCTGGCCAAAAGCTCCCCAGTGTTTGTGTTCAGTGCAACTGTCCAAGCATAGTATTGCACGTCACTTACTGCCCAAATCATATCTGAACCAGAGAGATTGTTCAATCAGTATTAGTCCGACCTGCTTAATTGCTTTTCTGTGTCCAGATGCTTACTTGCAGGAGACTGGATGGTTTTGATAGAGCCATCTCTAGTTTTCTAATACTTGTTTCACACATTTTGGCACTAAGGTACCTACTACATCAGATACTACTTTGCACAACTCTAAATGCAATGAGCATGGAAAGGTGCAGAAAAGAGTCGTCAGTCTTTTTATATGCAGTCATGAAAGTCAACTTATGTAAAAAGCCCAGTTGGCTCTTATGCATTGAGTCTCTGCTTGTTCTCTGACAGTCTCTGAGGTGCAAGAGGACTTAAGACTGAAAACTCAATCTGAGCAACTAAATCATAAACCAGAAAGTGGAACTCCTATAAAACTGCAGCTAGTGCTGTGTGAAAATGGTCTAATTCAAGGCCTTCAGCTCTTACTCAGCTTTCTCTCAAGGTTTTGAGTGAGTTTTGCATTTGCCTTAGAAACAAGGAAGTCATGGACACTTTTAAGAGGTGACTGCAGGAGGCATCCATATAACTTCATATTTCTCACCAGTATCTGTGATGGGACAACCTCAGTCTTACTAGATATGTGATCCAGAAAACACTATTTGGGTCAGCAGGCTACACGTGGGAAGTGTTTGGTGTTCTGTTGTCAGCTTGCACGGTGAGAATTCAAACTGAAGTAGCAAGAAAGTAATTCTCTTGAAAGTGATGCTTCATAGCAGCAGAAAGTATTCTACCATTATTTCTGTTCTCTCTTAACTTTGTTTTTATGGGCTTTGCAGTCCATTTGGACACTGAATGTCCCATTAAAAGTTACTTGAATTAAAAGCTGAGGAGTTATCTGTCTCATGAAAGAATGCTCCTCATACAGCTAGAGCAATTCCAACACGAATTTCAGTTTGGTTATTAGCTTTGTAATGTGCCAAAGGTACCATTTGACTTCTCTAGCCTTAATCTTTCTCTCTTTCCTAGGAGCTGATGCAGCAGAATGATATTTGCTATGTACTGAACGCCAGCAATACTTGTCCAAAGCCTGATTTTATTCCAGAATCCCATTTCCTGAGAGTGCCTGTGAACGACAGCTTTTGTGAGAAAATTTTGCCTTGGTTGGATAAATCGGTCGATTTTATAGGTGAGAAGAAAATCTAAATTCTGTAAACCAGTTTCTGGATTCCCTCATGCCTGCCTTGCTGTTTTGGCTGGAGAAGACCTGAATCCTTTCTGGGTGGTCTGAAAATACTAAGGATCTCCATACATGATCACCATCACTCTACAAGCACAGAAGCAAAATAACATAGGGAGATTCTGCTTCTGCATGTTCCAGCACTTACGGAACAAAGAGACTTTTTAAGAGCACAACTCTGCTTTCTGGCAACCTGGTAGATGATTTATGTCTGCAGAGAGCAAATTAGCAAATTGGACATACAGATCCTGTCTTTACCTTTGAGAAGTGAGCTAGCCAAATCTGAACTGGACAGATTGTTCCATCATGAATGTTTGCTTTTTATTTGCACATAAAATTAGAAACAATCACCTTTCCCAGACATCTAAATAGGGTTGTTTATGTGCACATTAAAATGTGGTATGCTGTAACTGCAGTATGTTTCCTGTGTGTAGTCACATGCTTTTTGTATACTCAACGCCCTACAGTGCTAGAGAAAATAGGTGATTTTTGTTTAAAGCTTCCATGAGATTTGCAATTAGTTAATTTGGAAGTTTTGAACAATTTTAAGTAACATTGCTTTCTTTGCAAACGTTTTATCGTGGTATAAATGCTGCCGAGTTTGACACTTGCCAATTTCTTTGCTATGTAGAAAAAGCAAAAGCATCAAATGGCCGTGTGTTGGTGCACTGTTTAGCTGGAATATCTCGCTCTGCCACAATCGCTATTGCATATATCATGAAGAGGATGGATATGTCCTTAGATGAAGCTTACAGGTAAGGAGAAAATTTCCCTTCGTACTAATTCTTGTGCCTGTTGGCTTGTTCTTAAGGTGTATGATAAAAGGTTATATATATGTGTGTGCATATATATACATGGTAAAACTTATATATATGGAGAGGGACTTTTTACCAGGGAATGTAGTGAAAACACAGGGTGAAATGGTTTTAAACTGAAAGAGGGTGGATTTAGATTAGATATTAGGAAGAAAATGTTCGCTCTGAGGGTGGTGAGACACTGGCACAGGTTTCCCAGAGAAGCTGTGGCTGCCCCATCCCTGGCAGTGTTCAAGGCCAGGCTGGACAGGGCTTGGAGCAACCTGTTCCAGTGGAAGGTGTCCTTGCCCATGGCAGGGGATTGAAGCTGGATGAGCTTTAAGGTCCCTTCCAACACAAAACATTCTGTGAGTCTGTGATTTTATATGACCAAAGGTAGAAGCAGATGTTACTTTATCTGGTAGTTCACTGGCATCCACATGCTCTTGTTTTAAATGCAGGCTTCCTCCATAAAGCAAAAGAATGGTGGTGTGCCGACATGACGCAGCTCATGTTAATTGCCCACCTGCAAAATGCTGACGTTGGTCCTTGCTTCAAGTAGGCAAATACATGGAATTTAAACTGCTTATTAAATATGTGTGTATAGATACATGTACACATCCAGCTATGGCACACATGTAACAGTATCTTGTAAGTCAGAGAGAGAATGGAATGGATGGGGTTAAAGAAAGAAAACTGAGGATATTTATCATCACGCTTACGACAAATGCTAGGCTGGCTCTATTGTCTGCGGTTTGGTAATGCTCTCAAAGAACTGCCTGCAGGTGAAATGTCTAGGAATTAAGAAAGCTTCTTTGTTGCTAATAAAGCCAACCAAAAACTCTGAGAGAAGGTATTTTGAAGTATCAGCTCTTTTTTTGCAGAGACCCTTTTCCTTCCTTCCCTTTTTAACCTTTCAAATCCTACTTTTGTCTGTGTTTGGATTGTGAACACTTTACTACATTCCAGGTGGCTTTGTTGCAGTTTACCATGACTTCTGTATTTCATTTAACAAACTGCTTTGTTGTGTTGTAGAGAAAATGATGGTTTTCTTTTTGATGGTCTTTATAGGCACAGCTGCTGCCTCACTGTGTTGTGCAGAAGCAATGTAAACAATTGTGTTGGAGCAGGTGGAGGGGGGTACTTCCAAAATCATGGGTACATTTGCTGCTACCGTCTTTAAAACACTGATGAGCACAGAAAGATGAACATTTAAAACGCCTTTATGGAGCATGATTTCCGTGGAGCATTTTCTTTTAAGCTGATGAATTAAGATGAATTATGTTTGCAGTGAAAAAAGTGCACGTAAAGGGTCATTGAACTACCCACTCCCATTGCCTTTCGAAGTTTTCCACAGTTTCTTACTAGAGCCTGCTGACAGTTGGGTGTTGTGCAGTCATTTCAACATGTATGATGAAACAGGTTTAATCAAGAGGTACAGCTGAAAACTGTATACAGGCATAGATAATATGGATGAATTAGTGGATATGGATGGATACTGCACAAGGTATGAGCTTGAGTCACTAAAGAAGCCTGCCTGGCCTCAGGCTGCAGTGGTCTGGAGGTTAGAGCTATAGAATACTAAACACTTGTAAAATGCACAGCTTCAGGGAACTTCTGAAGTGCTGCTTCTAAGCTCCTCCATGAAATCTCTGTATTAAATTCCAGTTTGCTTCTTACCCAGAAGTGTGAATCGTGTGAAGGATTAATCATTCCAGGCCGCCTTCTCTTTGCACTGTAGATAACGAGCAACTACTGTGAAATGTAGATTATATTTCACTATATTTCCTTTGATATGGCTTAGTGAGAACGGTCTGCAGCACATTTCACTCATTGGTCAGGGATCTCTTGTTGGCAAAGCTTGAAAGAAAACTACGTTTCTCTGAGTTAATGAAAGTCATTAGATAAATGTTTGGCTGATGCTATTACTAAAATAAAAAGGTGACACTCTTACTTGAAGTGAAAGATCTGAGGAAATAAATGCTTAAATATTTTCTTTCGTATAATGGACTATATAGAAGGGAAATAAACATAAACATTAAATGTTATGTACATTTTCCAGTTGGAAAAAAAAAGAGTGTACATTTTGAAATGACAAAGTTTGCAGTATCTTAAAAAGCTTGTCAGGGGGATCCAGCAGCCTTTCTTGTACTCTTCTCATTTTTTAAAAAGCTAGTTTTACATTTAGGACTGTCCAATATTTTGGAGTGAGATGAAGAGAAAGTGGAAGGAACAGAGATTTAGAGAGCCTATCAGAACACAGGCCAGAAATCGGAGTGTTGATCAGAAGAATCTTGCTTTAGATAGCCCAGTAACAAGTACAACTAGCTTTGAATGGAAAAGAAGTGAACAAAGAGTCTATGAATTCATGTGAGCGGGTTGGTTACACCTACATAAAAGCTCCCAAATTAAATGTTAAGAGCTCAAGCTAAAGAATTGGTCCTGAGGAGACTTACTAGTTTTCTCTGATAATGTTACACTTCATGGTGAAAGCTTTCACTATGAATTTGTGCAGCTTGATTTCCCAGGTGATCATGTCAGCTCGACTATCCCTGCTATTGTTTGCTGTTTGGCAACTTGGGAAACAAATAAATGCAAGTTCTGTTTGATAGTTTTCACATGCTTGCCTGCCGTTGTGCTAGTGTCTGCACACATACACAAGTATACCTCTGAATTTTTCACATGCCATTTTTAATGGCTGCACACTCACCTTCTGTACACAACCCCAGAGAGGCTTTATTTCTAATATATTTAAATTTCCCAGTGGTGAATTATACGTGTGGTTGCGCTAGATTTAACTCTTCAAGGTTGCTTCCCTTGTTAATTCCAAGAGGAGGAGGGAGTTGGGCAGCCTTCTGTTTTGCAGCCTGTGAAAAGCAGAGAGTACTTATTTAGCTGTACTGCAATTCAGACAGGTCGGAGGTGTGCTTTTGTATTTAACTTTGAAGTGTATGACATGACTTCTACTACTTAAGTCTTTCATACATTTAGAGCCCTGGTTCAGGAAAACATTGTAAGTATGCATTGCACCCTCTCCATATCAACCAAGTAGATAATTAATTGCATGCTTAGGTTGGCACATGTATGCAAGCCAGGCTGCTTCCTACAGAACTCAAAAACAGGTTCTCTGCAAGTGATTTGGCAGTAATTGGCCCTTTCCTGCTGTACACCTACATGTTTTTGTTTTAATGCTGTACTTGCTTCTTTCTGGTTTTCTGTTTTTGATTATCATATCAGCGGTCAATACCAGTGTGTGGTAGAAATTGATAGCATTTGCTGTATAAGGGCAGCGTGTATCGGAGCTCTTTGTCTTGCCTGACGAAGAGAAGCAGGGTAGGAAGCACTCACTGCAGTAACAACAGCATGAGAGAGGGGAAAGGAACATGGGATTTTGTCCCTGTGAATGGTGGGGATGGTGGTTTGCTTTCTGTAGTATAGGAGAGGCCAAGGTCCCTTGGCTCAAGCTCTGAAGCTGTTCACGCAAAACTGGAGGAGCTCTTAACTCTGGTCAGAAATCAAGGTAGCAGTGATCCCACTTGTGAAGCAAAATAAGGGAAATTATTCACTTAAATCTTGCTGTGGACATCATAAAGAAAAAATAATGCTTTCTTTCCCCCTTTTTTAGCCACCTTTAAGGAATCTGTAGAGACAATTGAGAGCAGTCAGCATTATCTTGTTTAAAAGCTGCCTTTTTTAAACTCCATTATCAAGTTACTTCTGCTTGATTGAACCTCAGTCCAAGCATCCCCATAAGTTAAGAAGAGGATGTTAACATTCACAGCAGTTGCTGTAGGACTGTCTCAGGTCTGTATAGCAGGTCCTTAAATTAATTCTCTGTTTGTTTGTCCCCTCTTTCCAGGTTTGTGAAAGAAAAAAGGCCAACCATTTCTCCCAACTTCAACTTCCTGGGCCAGCTTTTGGACTTTGAGAAGAAGATCAAGAACCAGAGCGGTCAGCCTGGCCATATCAGTAAGAGGAAACTTCTGCACCTGGAGAAAAGCAGTGAGCACGTGCTCGTCCCAGAAGGGGAGCAGAGCAGCCTCTCCACCAGCCAGCTCTGCATTACTGCTGCCTCCGAGATCGTGGAACAGAAGCCTACGGACTGCAGCAGCCACTTGTCCCCTCTGGAAGACAGCCCACTGGTCCAGGGCATAAATGGACTGCACGTCTCCCTGGATAAGGTAGAAGACAGCAACCGGCTGAAGCGCTCCTTTTCTTTGGATATCAAATCTGTATCCTACTCAGCAAGTAGCAGCTGTGTGACTGCATCCGTTCAGGGCTTTGCCTCCTCCGAAGAAACCCTGGAATACTACAAACACACGACTGCGTTAGAGGGCAGCAGCAAGTTGTGTCAGTTCTCCCCTGTTCAGGAGGTCTCAGAGCAGAGCCCAGAAACAAGCCCTGACAAAGAGGAAGCAAACCCTCCCAAAAAACCCCAGGCCCCCTGGCAGGTGGATAGCCAGAGCAAACGGCAGCACCTGGGGAGAGCCAGTGGCAGCACCACCACCCAGCGGTCACTCCTGTACCCCCTCCACCGGAGTGGCAGCATGGAAGACAACTACCGAACGAACTTCTTGTTTGGTCTCTCCACCAGCCAGCAGCATTTGGCAAAGTCTGCTGCAGGGCTGGGCCTCAAAGGCTGGCACTCGGACATCCTGGCTCCTCAGACATCGGCTACGTCCCTTACCAACAGCTGGTATTTTGCAGCCGAGTCCTCGCATTTCTACTCTGCCTCTGCCATCTATGGGAACAGTGCTGCTTACTCTACCTACAGCTGTAGTCAGCTGCCCACGGGCTGTGACCAAGCCTGTGCTGTGCGCAGGAGGGCAAAGCAGGGTGATCGAGGTGACTCCAGGCGGAGCTGGCACGAGGAAAGCTCTTTCGAGAAGCAGTTTAAGCGCAGAAGCTGCCAGATGGAGTTTGGGGAGAGCATCATGTCAGACAACAGATCCAGAGAAGAACTGGGGAAAGTAGGCAGTCAGTCGAGCTTTTCAGGCAGCATGGAAATCATTGAAGTGTCCTGAGGGGCAGCAGGCTCGTGTGACTGTGTCGGACTTGCTTCCCCCTCCAGGCTGCTTCCCTGTAAATCTGAAAAGAACAAACTCTGTGCAAAAAGCAGGTGGGGAGGGAAGAAATGCGAGTGAATGCTTCAGTGTGAACGCAGTGACTAGATGAGTATGGCAAAGAAAGGGCAAGTTTGCCCAAGGAGACCAAGTGTACTGCTGGGTTTTCCACCTCCTCCTTCCTGGAGAAGGGCAGAACATTTCAAAGACCTTTTCCTGACAGAGGAAGCAATGATATGCAATGGATTGCACATCCTTTCAGTGGCCTTTAAAAAGGAAGCTCTCTTGGTATCAAACCCTTTCTCTGGTTCCACTGAAACACTCTCCTACCCATCAAAGCTAGTTTTGTTCTCCCCTCCTCACACCCCATGTCCTCACCAGTGCACCTTAGCCCTGACACTGAGCCAACCTCTGGAGGGAGACCTTTTTCCTGTAAGAAAGGAGACTGGGAGTGATTCCAAAGGATGTAGGGACTGGTTACAGCATGGCTCATCTGAACACATGGTTCAGACCAATGTAAATACTGGTGTAACTATCGTTCTAATGGATAGGCTTTAGGTGATTTGCTAGAGAGCTGCTTCAGAGAAAAACAAACCCAGTACCTCAAACATACATACAAAAAAATAAACTAGGGCTTTATGGCTGCCAGATGCTGGTGGTCAGTTCATACGCAATGTGAACAAGTACCGACTGGCCACATTGGATTTTCTTTTGTTTCCAAAAGCTGTCTACGCACAAGTGTTTCAGTTGGTTCAGGAGCAATTCCTAAACCAGGCAATCGAACCAGCCTTGCCTATGACTGTTTCCCCCTTGTCTTTTGAAACATAAAATAAACAGTATTTGTATTTTTGATATTAACCTGGCTTCTGGGAGAGGGGCAGCTGCTTTGGCTTCTGAGCTATAATGGAGTGGGTTATGAGCAAGAGGAGTGGCTGGTACAATACCACACCATCCTTTTCTTGCCCACTGACAATTCAATACATGGCTCTTGAAGGCTTTTTTCCTGTTTTTTTTTTTGAAAGCTGAAATTGAGTTGGGGTGGGCTTTTGTCCTTAGCTGAGCTGTACCATTAAGGAACTGCTCTTCATATATGGTTCCAATCATGCGTGGGGTGAGGATAATGCAGGTGGTTGGTTTTTCCCTCCCAACATGGATGGGGACTTGGAGATAGAAGCTTCTCTTCAGTTGTGCTGACTTCATCTGAGAAAGAGTAACCTGGCTGGCTGTCCAAGGGAAACAGAAGGGGGCTTCCAGCATCCCAACTTAGTGTGGAGTGAAGGAGAGGGGGTTTGGGAAGAGACAGCTTCAGTGGGAAGCCTGCTTACCTCCCGCACTTGCAGCTGCAAGGAACTCGATCCTGGCTCTTGTCCTCCGTCCCAGTGCAGGGTCCTGGTTTCCCACTGCGCTGATGTGTGATTTGGCTGCTGCTGTCTGATACCGTGTCCTTGCCACCCAAGGGAACACGTTTCACGGGAGATGAGGCACAGCCCTTCTTGTGTTGTTCCTGACAGCAAACCAGCTGCTTCCCCTCCCGGTTGCCATTCGTGTGGTGCCACGGCTCAAGCTGGTCTATATGCACATTGCTGCAAGAGGTTTACAGTCAGCAACGGGTGGTACCAGCAGCACAGTGTAAAGCTTCGAGCTGCACATGAGTTATCTTACCCCCCAGAACATGTGTTTTGGGAGGAACTGTATTGTTTTGTCCCATTTCAGTGCAGGCAGCTGAAAATTGTACATCACATGTAACAAATGCTTACCCCTGGCCAACAGCTTTAAAAAGAAATTCTCAGCAGCAAACTGAAGCCCTAATTCAAGTCAGCAGCTTGGGTTATGTTTGGTTTTTTACTGTAAGTTTAGCTAGTTTGTGACTCAAATCTCAGGTTTTACTATACTGAAAAGTGCAGAAGATTTTGTCACTGTTTTGTTTTGTGGCTAGGATGTGACTTTAATTTCCTACAGCAGACTGTTGAAAATAGCACTGAAAGCTACAGCCTTAATTAACTTGATCCTAAAAAGTGCGAACGGCAGAGAGGCAGCACCAGGAGTAACTGAACCCAGAGACTGTGTTCATGCCGGGTGTACAAGATGCTGGAAGAAGGGGTAGTCCAGGTAAGGTGTAGGTTGACACCACACTGGAAAGCATGTCAGGTCTTGGTTATTCATTAAACATACTGCCACTTGTCTCTGTTTATGTATCAAGTGAAAGTAATTACATTACAACCATTTGCAGCATATACACACACTCCAGCATGTGTATACATACCTATGTAAACAGTTTAGCAGTGCTCCTCTCAGCCAGATTTCAGTAAAAGCCCATGTCTTTCATTTAAATCAGTTAATGGGGGGCTAACACAAATCAATCCCTAGAGGCAGAAACAGAACCTTCCTGTCCTTTGTGCTCCTTCGCACATGTGTGTTCTCCCCTTCTCTCTGTACAGATATGTATGTTTGGATTTTGTTTGTTTAATTGCCTCCTAAGGAACTGAAATCTGGTCTTGTGGCTCCTCCTGATTTCCAATAGGCAACAGTCACTGAATGAATCAAAGCTGTAGGCTCAGTATTTTTAGGGGAGGGGTTCCTGTAGGAGGAAGCCTTAACCCCATGTCCTGCCCAGGGTGGCGCCCTGTCTCCTGTCTGAACTCGTGTCCCATACCTGAACAATGCTGGAAATGGTTTGTAGAAATTTGGAAAGTGAAGTGGAGGATGCGAGGGGGGAAATGTGTACATGTTCAATATGAATATAATGTTCTTTGGTGTATGGCAAGCTGTTTAAATGGTTCAGAGCGATGTGAGTTTCTCATCTTGTTGTCATGAGCATTACCTGTATGTTATGATGAAATAAAATCAGAAATGGTACCTGTTTCTACGGAACGGCTGAGGAGGGAGCCTGTGTGCCTCTGGCTGTGGAGCGTGCGTTACCTGCTCCGCGGCACCCAGGTCGAGCAGGGGGGCTTATCCTTGCTGTAGTTATCCTTCCCTGTGGATGTGAGCCTGTTAATGAATGACACAGGTTGGGTGGCTTTGAACCTCTTGTCGCAAGCAGTGGTGATTTTACAGCACAGGGACAGTGTAGTACCTGTTCCTGCTTTACCCCACCTCTTCTGCTCCCTCAAACAGTAGCACTTCTCTGCATTAACACCATACAGTGCCTAATACTGCTCTGAGTGAACTCTGCCCAAGGCAGTTGGGCTAGTCTTCCTGAAGCAAGTATTTCAAGTTAAGCTGTCTAGAGTGAATCCCATGTTTTTTTTCTTGCCTCCAATACTTATTTGAAGAAAAAAATAATTCCTTGTTTTGAAGACTTGTTTTGACTGGTTCTGCAGGTCCTGAAGCATTCAGAGCAAATTCTGGTTGCTGAGCAAGGCGTATGTCCCTTGTTGCTCCTTCAGAGAGCAGCTTATACAACTGTGGCATATGTTAATATTAAATCCTGCAGTAGACTATGTTACAGGTAAATCCTGAGACGGCAAAGCCTGCAAGTTTGTGTGACAAACTTCAAACCCAGGTGCACTAACCATCCGAGAATGGGAAATGCAGAATCTTTGGCCTCTCTAGAAGACGCCAGTCCATCAGCCAGAGCACAAGTAACAACCTGCGTGAGCTTCTGCACTTACTTTCTACAAACCAGACATGCCAGCTCTTACATGGGAAGCATCCATTGCACAGTAAAACAAGAACCATGTGCAATACTAGACCTTAAATGGCATCACCTTGTTAGCCTACAAAACAGGTTGACTTGACAGTCTTTTAAGATTTACCTTCTCAAGCTTCCCTCACCCTGTTCCAGAGTCAGCTTTGATCCCAGTAGGTCAGACTAGCTGTGTTTGTTCCCTCATGTTCTGTTTTCCAAAGCATGCACTTCAGCTTTCACCCCTCCTCCTTTTGCCTGCTTTGCAGGAGTTGCTCTGCTTGAGTTCCCTCTGTCCCTCTGCTCTTGCCCCTGCCAGCACACAGCTCTCTGGAGACACAGACTAACTCCATCTCCAGTGAAAACCCGAGAGGCAACCGAAATGTGTCTCATAGATGTCATCAACATCTCATTTTCATTTCATTGACTAGCATTACTGGGAAGAGGTCCCTGAGGTCACTGGCCTCTTGATGTAACTAACCATCACACTTACAGGCCTAGAGGGAAATGGACTGAAAACAGGGCAAGCCTCACCTGGCACGGATCAGGCAGCCCTAGTTTTGAGGGGCTGGGGAGGTGTAAGAGAGAAAGTAGGAATGTGGTAATTCCGTGAGCTGCTGTTAGTACTAGCTGTAAGTTCATCGGCCAGCTGCTCATTACACTTTGGCTGACAGCACTAGTTATAAACTGATTTCTGCCAGAAAGCAGTGGTTGCAAAGGCCCAGACCAGTGGCCTGGTGCTTCTCCTGGGGATGGCACTGAGGTTACAAACTAAAACTCTAACTGACAGTTTCCATATCTGAAATTACTGAGATTCAGCGAAACTCACCTACATTGTAACCCTGACTGAACACCTAGCTAGCCTGCACTTGTTGTTAAAGTTTCTGAGATGGAGTTTTTTTCTAGCACATTCAGACATTACAGCATTATAATACAATATCACTACTATAATATATACACAAGATCACAGTTGGAAATTCAGGTAGAATAACAGCGTTCATAATACATCGGCTGAGCTGTTCTCCCTTACATGTCACCTCGCTGGGCATCAGGCTGTCCCATGCAGGCTTGCATTATGAAGAAGTTAAAATATAATGGTGGCAGCTGAAAGCAAGCCAAAAGCCCCCTGAGAAGTACCACAGACCAGCTGAAAAGCAGCTGAAAGTGCAAACTGACCCATTAAGTGATGTGTGAGGAATCGGAAGGAGGAGATGAGGAGCTGGCAGAGCAGGGGCCTGCCCAGGGACACCCAGCTCCAGGTCCTTCTGCAAAAGAGCTAATGTAAAGCATCTGTGAGGAAATGGTCTCTTTTTGACAGGGAGGTAAGGAGGAGGGGGGGAAGAAATGAGGAATATCTTGCTGCTCACGATTCCTGCTTCATCTTGGGAAAACTGTTGGGCACAGTCAAGGTGCA